CTCTCCCAGGCGCGGGCGGCCCAGCAGTCCGGCTCCGCAACGCCGACAGGCCCGCGGCCCGCTTCAGCACTGCCGCAAGGCAGCGATGGGTTCGGGCTGCATCGCAGCTCCCAAGCATTGGTAGAAAATACCAAGCTATTGGACTGCTGAGTGGAGAGCAGGGTTTGAGAGGCAGCTGGACAGCTGTGCACGTACAACACATCTTCCCCGGGCCATTTGTGCCTCCATCTGCATCCTGGTATCTCTGGCTGCATGTAAACGTTTTGGTAGACATTGTGCCAGCCTCGCCAGTGACACTTGTCTAGTATTTGAGACCCCATCTTTGACGGCCTGAAACATCCCCTCCCTTTTAATTTGACTCAGGCAGTCATATTGTCCTTGTCTGGAGGGCTGCATTGACCTCCTAAATGACAAGTTCCTTTCACGATTGTATACGTGGCTCTAAAATGCAGCCGACTCGCTCTGTTTTACCCTCTGGAGACCTCAGCAAGGGCTTTGTCCTGAAATGGACAGCTTTGTGACCGGTCTCAATAAGTCAAGAGCTCTTGTGTTCCTAAGCATTAAAGAGGATTTAAACTTTTTTTATATACATATAGGATTAAGTGAACCTCTCGTTCAGTGTCAGATCTTTTTCATTTTTGAAAGAGTTCAATCTCAATTAGACATCCAGGGATTTATTGTCAAACTTGCCTGAAACAATGCCCATGTCGTCCTTGTTTTATATGGTTTCAAACAATAGTCTTGTTTTGTTCACATGGTTGCAGTATGTATGATTTTGGTGTGAGCTAGTGACAGCTGTGAAATCCTACTCTGCAGGTAAGTATCAGTCAAACGTATCTCAAAAATCTATGTGTGGTGGGGAGCAATAACAAATCTCATAATTGTTTCTGTTTCTAGGTATTCTGGAAATAACTGCTGTTGATGTTGGAATTGTTGCCATCAAGGGCTTGTTCTCAGGCAGATACCTGGCCATGAACAAAAGGGGCAGACTTTATGCATCAGTAAGTTTCACTTAAGGCTCTGGCATACTCTGGTAATTTTCTATGGGGAGAATGGTTCCAGTGGGGAGCACTGATTTCTTACAAATACATATTCATAGAGAAAACATTTAATGTTACAATAAATTTCTCTCTGAATTTGTTATAGGTAGTCAATTAGTATTTTTTTAAAAGATTTGAGATTCTCAGATGAAAGAGGCTGTGTTCTTACTTTCTTATTGCTGTTCAGCCAAAGATATTTCACAGAGCCAAAGTCCTGGGCAATTGTACACACTGATAAAGCCCTCAGGAGCCAGCAGTTGCTGTGCAGAATACCTCTCTCTCTCTATTCAAAATGATCCATATTTATATTTCCTGTGGATCTTGGATGCTGGTAGGGGATATAGATGTCAGATGAAGAATATCGAGAACCAGTTGAGCATCACTATTACAGAAAAGCAGTTTACTGACATTAACAGGCATTTCTCTGCATAGACCATTCTGTTAGGCAGTGAGAGAATTAACAGGCACTAAAAGGCAGGGCTATGGCAAGGAAAGGAAGCGTGAGAAGGTGTAAGAAGATACCTTATTCTACTTCTTGGACCTTGTGCTTTCCTCCTGATCTTTGAGTCAAAATCTTGGCTCTGCTGGTAGCAGTGCTCTTGCCCTTTCAGTCCGGCTCCCTTACCCCCCAGTGCATAAAACAGTTTAGCATATATTGCTTTACACTCAGGGACATACAAAGACGTATTTACCATTGTGTACACTATATGCGTTACCTATCTACTTGAATTTCTTCTGGTGTCTCTGATTACAGCCCCACTTGTGATCTACTGCTGTATAACAGCCATACTGTGCAGTTTCTCCAGGCATCCTGTGGTCTGAAAGCAGATTAGAAAGTGGTAAAATAGAGCTATGTGAAATTTGCTTCCTTCAACTAGTCATTATAGGTAACTCTACTGATCTGAACAGTATGATACAGTAATGTGAGCTTTTTCCATGTGAACGCACTCTGGGTAACACAATCAACATGACAAGCTCTCAGTTACCTCCCTGTTTTAGTGTATTTTACTCCACCTTTTCCAAAGTGTTTTCCAGATAATGTTTATGATCCAGCCTCTTTAATGCATCTCATGTGATGCCTACTGATGGAAGGGGCTATGTGTAAAGCTGATGGTCCTTCACTGGTACAGAAAATTGGACCACAAATAACTTTGGCAAAGGAAAATGCAACTGAAGGGGAATGCAGACATACTAGTTCTGCTGTGTCAGGGCTAAGGCTGGACTACTTCTATGCTTTCAGTTAATATGCCGATTAAATTTGGGCATATTTTCAGTGGACCTCTTCTATCAGCTCAAAGCTAGAGTCCACCCTAAGGGAATGAATGGAAAGGTTGAATTTTAAAGGAGGCTCTTTCTTGCCTTTATTTCTTTCTTGTTCAAAATAGATACCTTTTTTCCTCTAGATTATTTGGATTGAATTAAAATAAGGCTAAACAAATTCTTAGTGAAAAAGCCTCCCTCCTACAGTGTAGAAAAGCCAGGGATAGCCTGGAGAGTCCTTTTTTTCTTGGACATCCCTCTCCAGCACGAGATGTACCAGGCCATCCTGCAGCTCTTTCAGCTGAGTCACGTTCCAAGCAATATCAGCTGCGAAAAGTTCCTGTACAACTAGAAAAAGTAATTTTTTCAGCTTCAGCTCCAGTTTGAGAGGTACAGTTTCCTACAGACTCGTGTTTCAGAGCTGGAGGGACCATTCAGGAAAAGCTTTTCCACTCCAGCTTTTCTTTTCGCAGGAGGTGAAGGCACAGCTCAGGAGAAACTTTCCCTGCTTTGCTTGCCTAAAATATTAACCAGTTACTTTAGTGGTGCTACTGTGCCAGGAACCTGTGTTATTAGGCTCCCTACTTCAGAGAAGATTGGCTTCTTTTGGAATAACTATCCAGGGAGCCATTCATGGAATGGTATTGGAATGACTCAGTTATCCCTTAATTCATCAGTGTCTCCATGTCAATAAAATCAGTCAGTCGAGTCCACAGAGTTTGTGTCCTTAGCAGACTGTGTTAATCTACCCTCTGCAGCCAGGATTGAGGCAGACGCAAGAAAAATCTACCTCCACATGGCAGTAGCATGGGCTCCAGCACCGCAGCATATGAAAACCTTGTCCTCGCAAGGGAGGGCACTTCCGTTTTACAGCTGCAAAACTGAGACATGCAAAGTCCTTTAAAACTTTGTTAAATGCCTGTCAGCATCTCTGGTGAGTGAACAGCATCAAACACATGTTAATAGTGGGACGCTGCAGGGTTCCCGCGGAGCCCACGGCTGTCCTGGCCCCAGCCTCAGTACCAGTGCCTTCACCGCCTCTGCCGGAGACGTGGCTGTAAAGGAAAACCTCTGCGAAGGATGCTGCAGCCATTCCCCTCTCTCCCATCTATGCCTCACACGCATCATAGACTCAAGTCACAGACTCAGGGCTAAAGGTAATTACATAGTTAACACAGTGAAAAAGAGATGCAGCGTAGAGCAGGCCTTTTTTGGCTGAGGATCAGATAAAAGGGGACAAATTTTAATAGATAAAATGTGAACACACAGGAAGGGAATTTGTTTTCCCTTACAGTGGACTGGTGTTTTGAGGACAAGTACTGAGGAAATGAGTCTAACCCAAGGAAGGTGGGAGGAAGAAGCACGTGTCTGTCTGGAAGCATATGTACGTGGACCTGGTTGTAATAAAGGAGCAGCCTCACATTTTGGAGGAACTCAGTGGGCAGGGTGCACTTTCATTTTGTTAAGCTCATGCAAACAAAGAAGTTTTGTAAAGCTAACTGTTGTTCACAGCTCAAATCTTCATAATAGACTGCAGGTGTATCTAGCTATACACCTGTTCAACATCCACACTTTAAACTGCATGATTTTACCTTTTTAATAGATGTCGAAGGTTGATAGGTAGCAATTAGATCACGCTTCCCATTCACAGGCATATTTAGGCCTGGAAGCACAAAAAAATTAAACTTACAGCTGAAAAACCAGTAGAGCTATTCTTTCCTATTCACATGTCATTTTTTGTGTTTAAACTGGTTTTCAGTCTGTTTCTGCTTCTGAAAGCAGAAACACAGAGCTCAGTCCCACTGGTAACAGGGAGCACATTACTGCCAAGCGCTTAGACTCAGCAATTCTGCCTGCCTTTCCAGGTGCTCGTTGAGTGTTTCCAATCACGTGTTGCTGTCCTTAGCCTAATATTGAGCAGAGTCTTTTGTAAGACTTTAGTCCAATCTAATTGAGGTACAAGCGAGCTATCATCTGTGTATTTTTTCTTAGACTCTGTCATGTTTGCTTTACAGGAAAATTATAATGCAGAATGTGAGTTCGTGGAAAGGATCCATGAGTTGGGTTATAACACTTATGCATCCCGTTTGTACCGGACTGTGCCCAACGGAGCCAACACCAAACGCAAAGCCAGCGCGGAGAAACTCTGGTACGTCTCAGTCAATGGGAAAGGACGACCCAGGTGGGGTTTTAAAACTCGCAGGACACAGAAGTCATCTCTCTTTCTGCCCAGAGTATTGGATAACAAAGACCATGAAATGGTCCGACTTTTCCACACAAACGTGAAATACCGAGAGGGTCTCCTGAAGCCTCCGAGCAAGAACCAGAGAAGAAGGAGAGGGCATTAGGGGCAATGAGGGAGCCGATATGGGGACCAGAAGTGAGTGAGGGTCTTCAGAGTACTTCTAAGAAAGACTAACAGTTGTGGTTGCCTGACAGGCATAAACATGGACTTTTTTTTAATACGCTGTATAATATAATTGGAAGTCACATCACTTTTAGCTATTTTAGAATTATTACCTGTGGTAAAGGAGTTGTGAGATAAACTAAGGCATATTCTAATGTAAATTAGTTTGATGTAATAATCTTGTCAATAGCCTTTAACAATTTTCTTTTCTAAAAAAAAAAATTATTATTTTCATTCTATCTTGCCTTAGGGTATTTTCTCAGTGAACCTCTCCTCCCAAATCATATGAACATTTTACACTTACCAACTTTGTGTGCTGAGAGAAAGCATAGCACTTTTGTGGCTTTTTTGGCAGTTCCTCATAAAAGGACTACATTCCTATTTTAATGGAATACAGAAATCGCAAAACTCATTTATTTTGTAACATTTATTTTTATTTTATGATCAGTCAATATCAGTTATACTTTCTCCCATGACATTCAGGTAACCAGAAACTGTAAGTTACTTTGAACATTTCAGTGGACCTACGCATTACTAGAGTATTCTTGAATTTGTTTAATTAAAAAAACAGGACACCTGATCTTGTCATTAAGTTAAATGAATCTTGGAAGAACCAAGGTTTAGTAATGTAAATCTGTTTACCAGTTGATGAATCCTCTCCTAGAATAGGAGCCAGAATATGTTGTGAAAGCCAAGTTTGTGGTGTTGACTGAACTTGTGATATATGAAAGTTCAGCACTGGAGATAGGAATCTTTATCAGATGCTTTTCTTTAGCTAAGTTTTCTACAGAAACTCTTAGTTCTAGGATAAATATATTTTAAGTACTTGAGAAAAAGCTCAGCCGTACAGAACCTGTATTGATTCATTGATTTAAGGTGGCTGCTGTGTTCCAATTTTTATTTTCTTTTTAAGTGTTTGTTATTTTGATGAAGCAGTTCTAAAATGAAAACTGCCAATCCAGACCAGGATCTATGATCCTGAGTTTTCACTCAATCCACATAAAAAATATGCTGTTATATATTTTTTTAATCTGAACCTGAAAGTGAACTTTAGCAGAGTTGAAGGGAATCCACATTGCAAGTTAATTTTGAGCTAAGCATTAAATTTAAAAAAATTTCTCTTCACATCTGGGAAGATGATAGAGCAATACAAACATATAGAAATATTTGACAAGCAAAAACAATAATCTTAGTGGGATTTGGCCTTGCATTCTTCACTTCCTAGAGCTGGGTGCAGATGCAGCACAACTGGAGAAAAGAGAGACTGCACTGAAATAAACATTTGACATAAATTTAACCAAAGATCTGTGAAGTGAAATTTTACATCACTTAGCAACACAGTAGATGCAAACTCCATTCAAAGTCATCTTGACACAAAGGACTTATTGTGGGCTATCTACTGAATAATAAATAGCATGGTCATTTAAAAACAATTAATGAAAATCTTTCATCGTTAAGGGGAGAATTCTGTGAGAAGTAAAAAGAGTCCATAAAACGAGTTCAGTAAGCCCAATAATAATAGGTTTAGTGTTGCTCACATACGCACAAAGGTGAGAACATAAAGGTATTTTCCTACCAAAAAGTATGCTCCGTTACTTCCAGCTTCATACCCTTTTTGTAATTTTCTAACAAAAAAGGAAACAATGTTTGAATAAAAAGACAGTCAAGATTCTTTGAGCTCTGCTCTCCATTAAATCAAAACCATGTAAAAGGACAGTGAAAGGACGCACGTTATTTAATGTCATGTAGAGCACAGAATAGACCTAGGTTAAAAAAAGGATACAGAAAATTAAGAACTGTGTTCCCGAATTTGCTTTCTTGTAAAAAAAAAACCTGAAAATGCTAATGGAAACTGAACAGAGGTAATCAGGCAGTATCATGTTCCTTGTGTCAGGAGCAACTGAATAGGCTGTGAAAGAAGAAATACAGAGTTTGAAAAAGAAACAAAAGGTTTCAGGTTTTCCATTTTGTTTATTGTCCTGTCAGCCACGCAAGGTCCAAACTCCTGCCGTATTCAAGGTGTCTGTTGCAGGTTGGTTCTGTCAGTGAAGAAAGTTAGATTTTGTCTTTGGGGATGGGTAAAGTCTTTTGGGGGCCTACAATCGACCATACCAAGCCACCTTATCGCAACCCTACATTTCCCCTCCAAGGCACTGGTGGGAGCTAAAGGAGTTGAGTGGGCAGGAAAGAGTTGGGGGGGTGGGGGGGGAGGTGGAAGCGCACACAGCTCGCAAGGCTGGCAAGCAAAAGGCAGGGGAAGGAAAGTGTTACCACAACTGCCTGGAAGGAGAGAGACTCTGGGGCTGAAGACGGTGAGTGCCTTTTTCCTCATGTCTGATTTCTGGCACCTGAGCAGGACTTTTTTTTTTTTTTTTTGGCTACTTTCAGATTTTCTTCACCCCAACTGGGTGGAAAGACGAGGTCCATGCTCAGCTTCTCTTCCCACCCCAAACTGTTGTTGTAGAGCTTTTTTATAAGGAGGAAAAACTGCTTTTTTTGGTACAATCCTGCCTATCTAAAAAGAGCGGACAGACTCCTGTTCCCCGATACACAAAGATGGCATCTCCTCTCCGGCTCCAAGTCACTTTTCTGTTAGCATTTAGACTTCACTCTTTGCTTTTCTCAGGGACAAGTGTGCCTGCTGACTGTATCCTTTGCTTTTCTGTCTGTTTTTCTGGAGATTTCTGCTCATTCTTTTCTCCTTTACCTCTTGTACAAAGGCTTAAATTACTGCCATGATACAACAGTGCATAAAACTGCTCCCATGCTGTAGGCAACAGAGGAACATCAGTAGTGACAGAAAACAACTGCTTACACATGCCTTTGTTTTGAGCTGTCATGTGCTTGCTGTAGGAGTATTGCTTTAACCACCTTCCCATAGGGAATTTCAGTGAAGTTTATTTTAATAAACAGCCTATATCCTTATCTTAGTTTCACTTTTCATCCCAACAAAGTCTAAAATAATGACACTCAAAAAAAGAGGAGAAGGGGACAAAAGTAAAAATAACTAACTCATTCAGGCAGTGGCATTTTAACTACTGTAGACAAGTGATGATTTTCACATGCACCTAAAACATTTTTATTATCATTCTTAGAATTTTTCTTTGCTCAGTCTCATTGCAGCAATTTGAAAGAGATGGCTTTGGGATTTGTCTTTTTTTTAAACTGAGAAATATTACTGTTCCTATTGAAGTACTTTTCATTAAAGACATTCATTACTTAATATTCTTTTAGCAATTATGAAGTCCACAGTTCCCAGATATAGTTCGCTGGTAATTATCCCAGTTGTATCCTATAAACCATTTTACTTATGTAGACCAGACCCTTATAAGATGCCTTTCAAGATTCAGTAGAGTTGGGTTACTGCTATTCTCTTCTTAGGGTTATAAAGTCAAGCTGTGTCTCATCTTTTAAGTTTCTTGTGTGACTTTATCTTTTCATCTTACCACAGGCTGTTATCAGATTTTTCTTGAGGAAGATGTGAACTTTACTCATTTTGGATTGCAGAATTGGTAACAACTTTTTGGAGTTTAGATTCCAGAAGTTCACTGGCATCCTTAGTTCATCCCAAAACAGGGATCATTCAGGGAAGCCAAACCTCATAAAAAATTCATCTGCTGCAGCCTTTTGGTTATACACCAGGTGCATTTTCAGTAGTTTTGTGGTTTGAAGGCCATTTCAGTGTCCCTATCAGCATCCTGTCATGACATCTACATTAGCAAGTAGTGCAGACCCAGAGCAACAAATCTGCATAGCAAAACTCCTAGTGCTAAGTATCCAATGACCACACTATACACGTTTTCACTCTCTCTTCATCTCCCTCATCTCTGCTACCTTGTAAAAGTATTTCTTTCGGTGCCATTTTCAGCTTTGCATTCAACTCTTTCCATCAAGTTTTGACTGTATACTTTACAAATGCTGTTTCATGCAGTCATGCATAAATTACGTGAACCAGACTTGAATGTCATTTTCTTTCAAGGGCATGAGGCAGTAAACTGTATACTGAGGGTTTCTGGCAAACAGTTTCTATAACACTTGCTTCCTTCTCATGTGCACTGCTCCAATAGATGATTCAAGTAAAGCAGCAGACTCTACAGCATTCGAGAGTGTCATTTTTCTTCTTTCATTTAGCAGGATATGCAAGATGAAATCCAGCTGAACGTCTGTAAATGGGCTATTACCAATTTAGCTCTGGAAGTCCTTGTTAGGAGCTTGGGATACCTGGTGGGGGTAGGTTTCTGAGGCTTTGCTAGAGCTGCCCCATTCATTTTGGCTCCTAGAAAGTCCATTTTCTGGCACCATTTCCAGCCATTCATTTGGGTGGTACCACAGATCAGAGCCAAGTAAGCTTTGCTTGGAGTTTCTCCACCTGAGACAGAGATGTTCAGCATTATTTGAGCTGGGACGATACGATGTCTCCTCAGTGGGCCTCTGCAGGTGACTAACTGGGAAGAAAAGTGCCCAAGTTCTATGTTTGATGCAGTTTCTTCCAGATAGATGACATGCAGTCTGCTCCATGACCTTCTGATTCATATCTCAAGCAGATATTTTTTAGCTTCTTTAATCCTTACTCCAATCTAGCCAAAGCTTCATGCAAAATATTCTGGTCTTTGATTGTACTGATACTTTTCTAGCTCTCTGTTCATAAAAAAACAAAAGTTGTGCATGCAACATAAATAGCTACCCCATCTTGAATAACTATGTTACAAAGCATGAATTCTTTCCCAGTTTAATCGCACATTTTCCTCCACTTTCTCAGCATAGATTTTCTGTCTCATTGAGAGGGTCTTTTCTCTGTCATCCTTATGTTTTATTATAGTCCTTTTATAATATTTCCAAATCTTTTTTTAACCCCTTGATTAGGTTTTATATTCATTTCTACAAACCCTGCTACCATCACCCATTTACTTCAGCAGAGTATCAGTAACCTACATTTTTTTCTTGCAAACCACTTCATGCTTGTAACACCAGCATTACGCACTTAGAAGAGAAACAGATGATATTTCTTGAAGACATCGTATTTATTTTTAAGGAAAGTATAAAATCTGTTTTCCTCCC